TAAAGCTCTATGACTATTATTTTTAATGACTGCATGATATTCCATTGTACAGTTGGAAATATTATTTACCTACAGCCCTATTTTTTTTTTTTAACACTATGAGGACCACCATAAGCATACAGCTTTGAGCATGTCTGCTTTATTTCCTTAGGTTACACTCCTAAAAGTAGAATTGATGGGTCAAAGAATGTAAATGGTTTTCTAAACTTTTCCCTACTTGAGCCTCTGGAAGGTGGTAGCAATTGATATTCCTGCCCAGCAGGAGGCTACATAGTTCTCTGCATCCTTGCAACTTTCTGTTGTGGTTCTTTATCTTTAACGATCTAATAGATGAAAAATAATATCTCGAGTCTTTTAGAAACCTTAACTGTTGAGCCTGTGCATTTATTCTGTTCATTTTGTGAGCTACATGTTGAGTCTTTGGGGTGTTAAAATTTTCTTATCTAATGACAAGAGCAGATTTGCAAATTTTATAATCCTCTCTAGTGGCAAGTTCCCTCACTACAAAGAACTTAACTTATATTCTAGTCAAAAGATGAAAGAATATGCTGGAAACATTACTAGATTAGTAAAACAGAATAGAATGGTGTGTGGCAAAAAGATGTGGCAAAAACTCAGAGCAAAGATATAGACTGGAAGGATTGGGAAAAACTCCTCATAGATGGTGAGACCTAGACCTTGAAAAATGTGTCCTGTGGATGGCACAGAGGAAGAAGGATAGCATTCCAACAAGGGGGAGTGCAGGCTATGTACACATGGAATGAATGAATGAATGAATGAATGAACGAACGAATGAACAGAGAAAGCTTTAGTGAGTAATGGAAGATACAAAGCTGTTAAGACCAGAAGTCACAGAAAACCTCAAAAGAAACAACAGAAATTTGTAGAAACAGTACAGTAGCCACAAGGTAAGACATTTGAGGAATACTGACCTCGGATGATACAAAATGAACTGAAGTTGGGGAGATGAGTTAACTTCAGTAATAGTTTTTGTTTTGTCTCTCTTTGGTGGAGAGTGTGGCTGGGATGAGGCCCTAGATAGGATTGTAAAGGTGGGAATGGAGGGGAACAATCTCAAAAAAATTAAATCAACCGTACTTCATGGCCTATGAAATGCAAAGGAAGGGGAGCAGAGGGTTCTGAAGCAGAGAGTGGGCTAGAACTGGTGCCTCTAACAAAAATTAGGAAACGAGAGTAAGTTTGAGGGGAGAGTTAGGAACAAGGATGAGTGGCGGAGGAGAAAGTCTTTACCTGTACTACTATGTGCCTCTAGGTGGTTGAAATGTTTAATGGCAAGACTGTTGATATGGGAGATGGCTGCACAGCAGAATGACAGCTGAAGAAATGAGATTATCTCTAATTAGAAAGGGCAGCTTTGGGGATGCGCACAGTGAGGGACACATAATGTAATACTTGTTGTGTCAGCCATGAGGTAGTAGGAAAGGTCTAGGGGTTTGCCCCATCTTCATCCTTCATGCCTGTACACACCCCTCTCCCCTGCCCACCTCTGGATGATCAATTGTGCTGTTTTTGGAGAGGACTGGTTTGGCTTTGAAAGAAACAGCCAGGTTTTAGCATATAGCCATCCACAGTGATCCACAGACAAGGTGGATGCCACTTGTAATTGAGGGCTGCCCAGCTGTGCTTTTGCTTCATACTTTACCAAAATGTCTTCTCATCCATTATTTTTGCATCATGGAACTTCAGAGTAGAAAGAGACCTTCAAATAATGTCATCCATCCCCAATTTTAGAGATGAGAAAACTAAGACAGACCCACTAAGGAAAATGACTTGCCTCATATCACACAAAGTGGGAGTGTAACCAGGCACAAACTTTACTTCTTTTAAAATGACTTTTTCTCTTTTTTCTCCACACAAACTTGCCTTGTCTAGTCAAATAGCATGACTCACTTGCTCCTTTTCTTTCCTTGTCCTTCCATCTCTGTACATATTGCATAACCACTCCTTTAATCATTAAGCCCTTTAGTCAGGATCAAACAGACTTATCAAAGGTGGAATCCTACCACCACCCCCATGAAACAACATAGAACATGCCGTGACTGATACTAGGACCTGATGTAATGATTAATTGCTAGCTCCAACCAGTCAATAGAGCCAACAACCTCAAATCCCTTAGACACCATGACTAAGGAATTTTCTCCTGTATCACCTATAACCATAGAGGCCAAGTCTTTGAGCACTAGCTCACTAGTCTCCAGGCTTGGAGCCATTTCCTTTAATAAACTTTTACTTTCTTTGCTGCAAATCCCAGTTCATGCCTTATTTGGCTTTGATGCAAGCTGGCAAAACAAACCCCCTTTATTTCGGTAACAGGAGTGGGGAAAAAGACTTTCCTTTTAGCTTTCAAGAGAAATCCTGCTCACCTGGAGCACGAGTCTGTTGCCACAGATGCAGTTCTTTCACGAGCTCTTAAGAGAGGTGAGGCACAGGGACAAAGTACGCTTTCCACTTCGCCCCAGCTAAAATGCACAGATCACCAGCATATTGTTTTAAAGAATTTGTTACACATTTATTTTTTGTTTAAGATAAAAACATCCACTGTTTCTAAGAATCTCAGTACTTTTTTAAAATGTCAGTGTCCTTTCATTTCCATGTTGCAATCTACAATTCTTCACTCCTCTAACATGTTATTTTTGTTACCTTCTTCCTGACAGTGGGTTATTTTTCCAGAAAAGGAGCTTTAACTCTCTCTTCTCTATAAAAATAAATAATGGGAAGGTGTTTCTGCCAATGTTATGTCAAAATGGCAGTATATATCTTCGGTTTTCTAAAATGATTTAAAAAAAAAAAAAAACAGGAAAACACATTAACAGCTGTATCTAATGTGATACAGTATAACGTACCATAAAAAATTATTTCACTTCTTTATTCCCATTCCATTATCTTTAGGACTTAGAATAAAGAAACAGGAACTAAAGATTCACAAGTAGGCTTGTAGATTCAGCTTCTCCAGAGAGATTTTTACCAGCATTTTTGAGACTTTTGGAGGCAGTGGAACTTGGGGCTCCATGATATCCTTTTGAGCAACCATTCCAAGCATGCCTCTTTATTTCATTAAAAGTGTCTCTTCAGTAAATGTAGGCTTTAAACTAGTGAGTGGCTGATTATTCTGTTGTCTCTGAAAGTTTCTTTCCTGAGTTGTCATCTCAGCCACTTCACCTTGTACCCCAAAGGCAAGGCGGGGCAGGCAGCTGCTTTTAAAACACGCAGTTCCAACCCTAAGGAGCATTACTTTTTCCACTCTAGCACAGTACCTTGCACAAGGTAAGGAATTTAAATACCTATTAATAGAATAAAGAAACAATGGGTTTGTAATCATCAGTAAACACTCTATTACCATGGATTTTAATAAATGAGAATGATTCCTGTTCTCTGAAGGCAAGGAAACTCATTTATTGAGCATTTATTATATGCCAGCACATTCCCCTCATCTTGTTTCTCATAATAATTCTATGAAATAGTTAGTATCACTGCTATTAAGGATGAAAAAACAAGGTTCAGTGATTAACCCAATGTCAAGCTACAGGTCAGTTGCAGAGCCAGAAACCAAAGGTTCAGTGATTAACCCAAAGTCAAGCTACAGGTCAGTTGCAAAGCCAGAAACCAAACCATGGTCTATCTGGCTGCAAAGCCTGAGCCATCTGCTGCTTCCTGGTCACTCTTCTTGAGGTTATGAGAGAATGCTGAATGAGTTTTTCCATCCTGTAATGAAACCGGGAGGAGTCTGTAATAAATCTTAGGTCACTGACCTAAGACCATGTGATCCATTCCATACACAATTGTCAAGGATATTCTGAATCTTTTAAGTACTAAGAAGATGACTAAAGTTTTCAACTAAATGTGTAGGCTTTTTAATTAAATACCCATAACATTTCTCAATTGCAGGCAATCTAATGTTCCTCAGACCCTAAACCTATGTGAATTTGCAGGCTTACAGAATTTTAAATCTTAATTAAAAAGATCCCCTCATTTCACAATTGAGAAAACCGAAAAGATTAAATAACTTGTTTAGCAAAGTTTACTTAGTTATTAGATTCCAGATTTGGCCTTAGCCCGTATTTAAATGTGAAGAGTATCACATTTTGCAAATAAGATTACATTTCATCCACACGCAACTAGTTTGTATCAACACCAACATTTATCTGCACAATTATAGCTCAACAGAGACCATGTCTCATTTAATGTCTTAAAGTAACTACATCTATTTATAAGAATGTCTAATAAAAGCCATTTCTCTCTAACTTCCACAGAATTTTCAGTTTGGGGACAGCAGATTCGTTCATAACACTAGCTGATGGCTTGCAAGCTACATTATTTTCAAGGTTTGGGTGTTAAAAGTGTACTGCCCTTTCAGTCTTAAAACAACAACAACAACAACAAAGAAAATGAACTATGATTTTCTAAACATAAATTCAATAGTACTAAAATACCTGTTAATTCTCTAATCTCAACTATTTTTTCATGTAACATTTTAAAATCCCATACACCAATTGTAGTGTTTAAGATTCAAGTACGTACCTAATAGATGTGTCATGAAACGGTAGCCTGTGATTTGTAGAACTTGAATAATTCATCAAGGAATAAGACCAATGAGGAAAGGGTTAGTTGTTGAATCCGTTATGAAGTCATTAGACATGAATATAACCCTATGAGTAATTTTAGCACAGATCTCAATTATATGAAATGATAATAATAAATAGACAGCAATGAACAGCTATGTGCTATAAACTCCTGAATGCCAAGCAAAAAGGGAATGGTGACAGTCCTAAAATGAAGCACAAGAAAATTCTTCTAGCATGTGAGGTCGTGGGGTCCTCTACCCAGGATTTTATTCCAAATGTTTCTAAAATGGCAGAAATTGTTGTGGTTTTGGTGAGGGATGGCCCAGCATACTTGAATGACACTTGCGACAACTAACAGCCCTTCCTTTACTCTAGGATATTGAAGCCTATTTTGTTGATGGAAGGGCAGAGAAGAATCGTACGTAGTCCTTCCATTAAGGAGAGCCCATTCATCTTGACCCATGCAATATCGTGATTCCAAAGACCAACCAAATTTTTACCAAGTGAGCAGGCTACCAGGGATAATTCCAGAAATGACATTCTAGAAAATCAGGAATACAGCAATCTAGCAAAGAAGCAAAATAACATCTAAAGATACATTGTTTTTAACCAGCTAACCTTAATGAATGTTACCATATCTGGTCTTCTTATTTTTCCCTATCACTAGGTAAAAAATGCCTAGGATACCAGAAATTTCTTTGAAATTTTAACAAAGGGACAAGTGCCTGTATTTCTTTTGGTCCTTATAACATATGCCACATACTTCTGTTCTTAGATAAATACTATTGTGTGTTAAAGAGATGATAATGAATTCTAAGACAGGGGCTCTACAGACAACCACAGCACCCTTAATACACTGATCTATGGTTAAGACTTGGGTATTTGAGGTTTGAAACATAGCTTCTTATAATTTAGTTCTGCAATTTCTGTAATTTCTCCACCCTTCTAAAAAAGAATGGATGCATAAAACACTTTCATCTAAAGTTTATTAAAATATAAATATCATTTCAGAATTTCAGAGCTGCAAAAGGGCCCTAGTGATAATCTGGTCAAACTCTTCCCATGACTTTCTAATGAAGCAACTCATTAATAACTCAAAGATCAGATAACTCACCTCAAGTCTTTGTCTATAGTAGCAAGGCTGGAACTCTTGCCTCTTGCCTCTTTGTACATGTCACATATTTGGGCTGAGCTCCTGAAAGGACTAGTTTACTTTAACTAGAAAAAGACTCTACATATCTACTATATATACTAATCTTTTAAAATTATATAATACAAAAGCTATATGTTACTCTTTGATTTAAAATGTCATACCAACAAACTTGTGATATATTGCAATCATTTTATTAATATGAAGCAATGGGATAAATCCTTTACAGGAATATTGATTCACTACCATGAATGTGTATGGATACTTTAGGGCAGTATCATACTTGCTTCAAATTATGTGTGAATTACTTTCACTTCCACACGTATAAACATAAATACTTCATTGCTTGAAAGGACAGCACACAGCCAGGCACCTCTTCTTCCTGGTTTAAATGCATGTAAGTGCACTCACGTACAATGGATTTTTCACCACTCAAGGACTTCATAATATACGAACAACTTTTCAGAACACTATTTCTGCTCCATCATTTTTTAAATTGAAGTAGAGGAAAAGCAATACTATGGTACAAAAGACCTTTTTACAAGGTCTCTTCCGGAAAAGTGTCTGAGAATAGTAACCTAGTCCTATAATGACTGTCATCAAGATCATCCTACAAGGACATGAAGGTAGATTCACTCTCCTGGAGAGTTTCTGATCTTACTAAGAATATTATGACTAGGGAGAAAGACTCTCCTAGAGAGATATTTTAAACATATTTCAATCCTAGAATGACTATAATGGAGATGACATGATAGTTGAAATCATTTTGCTGAAGTTTGTGTCTAGAAAGACACTCAGAATAATGTAATTAAATGCGGTTATAATTTTTTATGTTTTGTGAAAATATTAGAGACCATGAAAGCAGAAAATGGAGCACCATAACAAAGAATAAAGAAACACTTGAAGAATACACTTAACACATAAAAATTTTAAATGGTATCTAATAAATTTTCATGTCAAATCTTTTAACTAAACATATAAAATTTTTAAATGGCAACGAATAAATCATGTCGAATCTTTTAACAAAATCCACAAATAGATTATAAAAATTGAACAATCATAAATGTCTGATGTATAAAGTTTTAAGGTAAAGTTTAAATTTCATCATTATTCTGTTCAATCAAATACTTGAGGAATTTTAGTTACCGCTGAGGAGCGGCTGATACATTTCTAAAATAACTCGGTTATGAAAATAATCACGGCTAAGTTTTGGCATTGTAGCATCCCAGCAATCTTTAGTCATCCACAAATGTTAACCGTCCAGGCCCTTCATTCTTCATCCATCTCCTGTATCTCTTCCATCTAGGGTCATTTGCCAATTTTTTCTTTAGCTCTTCTTTTTGTTCCTGTTTGTAGACCTGTGAGGATAAATAACGTTAATTGACTTTACAATCCAAAGGGAAACACTTATTGTTAGCTTTACGGCAGTTACATTTTTCAAATATAGGTTTAGGTAAAAGTTTCCAATCAATGTACTGGTTTGTCTTTTGAAGACCATGCACCTGAAAATACTAAGTGAGTAAGCGCTTTAACATTCAGTGTTAAATAAAAAAGAACAACTTGTTCAAGGACTAGTAGTTTTTTTGTCACCCATTTCTGTAACCTGGGAATACATTTTTTTCTCATTGATATCATATATAAGCCGAGTTTAAACATTTCCTCTCTATGATTCATGTCCAATATTAAAGAATCACACTTTATTTAGCATGGTACTCTTATAAATTTAACTGATGATTTTCAGTATTTGTTGATCCTAACCAAGGAACAAAATGACATTATATATACATTTGTTTCCGAATGTAATTTTATCTTCAAAGACAATGACTGGTTTTCAAAATGTTTTATTAAAGTTCCCAAAGAAGGTTAAATAAACCACATAGGTAAATAACGAAGAACATATGCATTTCTGTAACGTTTAGTGGATGTCAGCTGAAGCTAAATGGACAAATTTTCATAACCAGTTACAATCACATCAAATTTCAGAAAGAAATGTTTTTACTTCTAAATTTTAGGTAGTAATCACTAAGATAACCTCCTATAATAACATGATAATTCAGCTCAGAATAGTACTCTATGAAAGACAGAGGTTTTGTGAATTAGGCAGCTTAACCCACTTAAAAATTTTTCAAACAATTTAGGAGCAAAACAGTATGTTGCCTTCCATTTTTACGTTATTTATAAGCAGCCTGAATATAATTACTTGCCAAAACATTCTAGCAATTCATAGTAAGTTAAGTTACATAAATATAATTCGGACTGAAACTTTACTTTTAGTAAAATCTATTTAGGATACCACGTATAAAAAGGAATGCCTATGAAACTGAAAAAACAACTATATCTCAGCTTTCTTAAGAAGGATTCAGTGTCCTTTATTCTTACATTTAATATATTAACCAATTAATTTTACCCAAAACCTAAAATAATACTATGGTGACATTACTAGTTCCTTTAGGACTTTGGCTAAGCAGCTGATCACCTAGAAGTAATTGCTATAGCTGACAATGAAGAATATAGCATTTATTAAAATGCCCAAAGTTTAGAGGCATTACGGTAAGTCAATTTAATTTAAAATAAAAGTAATTTTTCATACATATGTTGTTATTCGGAAGATTCTGTGCTCATTTCATTTTGAAATGTAGTTATTTCAACAAAATTTCCATCTCTTACTCCTTCTCTGTTTTTTAAAGCTCTGTGGCTAAGTTTATGTGACTGGAAGGAAATTTGGGGAAGAGCAAATTTTAGCGCAATTAATAGAAAGTTGTAGACACCCTTGCAAACATATATTCCTACTGCAGTTTAACACAACAAATTAGACCATTCTTAAGTCTTTCAGCATTTTTATTACCCATTAACATTCATCTTAAAAAGACAAATTACAGGTTAAAGACCCACTGTCCCACTATAAAATACAGTCATACTTTCAATAAAAGTAAGATCTTTATTCATTATTTAGCCCTTGGACTTGAGAAATTTGAGCATACTTCTGGGATCCCTTATCATACACCCAATTTTACCTTGGTAAGGAAGATGACACTAAAATCACAGCAGATTAATTACTCACCTCATAATTCTCCTTTATCCAGAGCTCCCGTTTAAGAAAAGTTTCTTTCTGATGGTCTTCTAGACTATCAAACTGAGACTTTGACATCTTCATAGATTTACGTATGATATATAGTCTTTCTTCTTCCCCATATTCTTTGCCTTTGATATTAAAATTATAGATCCAACGGCAATACCAGACTATATATGAGCACAGGTGAAGGGGAGCTAATAGAATTTGAAACAGGAGAAGATCACGTATCTGGGGCTTCTGATAGCCACCCTTTATATCTATTTTACTTTTTATAATCTTCTTTATAATGTTCTCCTCCTCATCACGAATTTCTTCTTTGGACTTTTTGTTTCTGCCCTTCTCTTTGGCTTTTCTGAGCAACCCCTGCTGCTTGGCAATCTCCATGGCTTGGATACGGTACTTGGGCACTGTGGCCAGGTAGCCGATTGCTTTATCGTAGCTATTCCACCAGCTGAAAAACTAGAATATTTAACAAAGAAAAATGGGTCATTTTTATTAGCAAAATTCATCTTGGGGAATACCACCATCACCACCCTCCTCCCCCGCAGAAACCTATTCTGATTAAAAACAAGGACCTCAATCATCTTAGTAAGTAAAAGACACAATTGAATGCCCCTTTATACCAGGCTGGATACGTCAGGTAGGCCCTGAGCTGAGCCAAAAAGCCATTAAATCAAGCAGGGATACTGAAGATCAGAGAATAGGTTGATGGAATCACCAAAAAATTATATATGTATTGCTAGGGTATTACATAATATGAAACAGGAAAGTAAAATTATCCCTGCTCTCTTCTTTGAAAGGATACTTCTACAAAAGCTGATATATTTAAAATATACAACCTTAAGTTTTCAATAGAAATTATTTTTGTTGTATAAATTGAATCTCATTTCTGGATATTAAACTAGAGAAGCAATTTTCAAACTAGCAAATTGCTTCACTCTAGTCACCTGACATGTTCTTTTCCTCTAAAGGAGTATATGATAGGTGTGGTTACTTTAAGGGTAATGGTAGGAAACACTCATTTCAGGCCAAAGGTAAATTTTTATGATATTTTATAACAACATAAAAGGCTGTAGCTCTTGCCTATGGCCATGCCACCCTGAACACGCCCTATCTCGTCTGATCTCAGAAGCTAAGCAGAGCTGGGCCCGGTTAGTACTTGGATGGAGGAGCCAGGTGCTGTAGGCATTAAAAAAAAAAAAAAAAAGCTGTAGCTCGCTATGTATGTATGTATGTATTTAATTTTTGGCTGTAGCTCTTTTAATCTATTTGAGTAGCGTTCGACTCGAGCAAAAGCACTCTTAGCAGGCATATGAAATGGATGGGGGAATGTATTGCTACAATGATAGCAAGCACTACCTGACAGGTGTCAAGATTTGTTAGGTCACATTAAGTAGTTCAGATTTTTCCTAAGTTTAATGGGAAATTATTGAAAAGTTCTACAAAAGCAAATGATATGATCAGGTTGACATCCACTCTGGCTGTTAAATGGAAAATACTCTAAAGGAGGCAATCAGAAAAAGAGCCATCGTTGGGTTTTTTGGTAGTTATACAACATTCATCATCAATTTCTTGGATTTCCCACTGATAAAGATTCAATATTACCAACTGGTTGAATAAATATCTTTCTAATGTAAAAAAATTAATCTCAACTAGAAGCAAAATTTTACAAAAAGGTACTTCTAGTTCAGTTTTAATGATTGGCACCTGTCACTCAAGCACAAACATGTCGACACATATCCAACAATACACACCTGAAACAATGAAATAGCACACACACTGAACAAAATCACAAGTCTAACATCCACTTTAGGGGCTAAGCGCCTGCTGTAGTAGTGATAGTAATGACTATAGTATTCTTCTGGGTGATCCAGCATGTAGTCATAATCTTTTCGTGTTTCTTCATCCTGTAAAATAACAAAATATCCCATTTCACAGACATTTCATCAAATGGCCTTAGTTTATAATCTGTTAAGTCAAACCTAGAATTTTATAATTATGTTAGGTTAATCTGAGTAAAAGAACTGAAACTGTCAAAATTAAAAAATTGTCCATCACTCTTCAGAGGCACACATAAATTTGTTTCCAGAACTTTAACGTTAACTATAAAGCATCATAAAAACATCTCCCTAAAGTCTTGAGTATTGTTAGTCCCTTGGAAAAATAAAAACTCTTTAAGAACAACAATGTCTTTTTAGCCAGTGTTGCGCTAATAAGGATATCATCCATCATGTTCTTATAACTATGAGCACGCTGACACCTACTCTCAATATCTGTTGATAGGAAAAAAATGTTTATCTCTATTGCACATATTCAGTCATTTTCCAGCCTCACGTAGAAAGTTTTCTGTTGAAAGCGATGACTAAGATGGCAAAAAGCAGATGAAGGCAGTCTGTGCCTACAAAACTGAATAATGTTCGTCTCCAAGAAATACCGATGCAGCATAACGGTCAGTCTGGCTTTGTGGGAAGTGTTTAGCCTCTGAGCCTCACTGTCACTTGTAAAATAGAGATAATAATACCTGCTCTACTAATTTTACAGAGTTGTTTTGAATATAAAATGACATACAATATACAAAAACATGTTACAAATACATAGTATTTTACTATTATAACACACTGTCACAGCCCACTTCAGGAATAAGTTAAAATATACATAATTATACAAATGTTGAAAAAATTATAGCATTCTGAAATGCTGCTCTGAATGTTCACAAATAAAACACTTCTTAAAACCTTCTCTAACTTTAATCGATTTCTAACAGGGATAAATGCCACTCTTTTACTGAGCTACAGAGGTTGAAGAGCTATTAAACTAGGTTGTGATTTGCTTTTTATCGCAGAGGAAACCTATTTTGTCTTGTGTCCAAAAAATGTTAAAAGACTAAAACCACAACAAATTCTTTACTCTCTATAAGTGAGTGATTACGAAAACAAAAACCTTTTTTCATCTAGAGAATTTCTTTTTTAAGATGAATTATTCAACATCCATAAAGTTACAGATTCTTAGCCAATGGCATTTCAAAATTTACACCTAGTACTTTGCTACCATAGGGGTTCTGGGGTCTGTTCAGAGCCTTCTCTTGAGTCTTCCAACATGCAGTTCTGTAGATTTAAAGTAAGTTTGCTAATAACAAAAAAATCTTCCCTATACACGTTAAAATCATTATATATTTTAGATTAAGAATTCTGAATTTGAATAAGTGCATTCTCAGTGACAATTCTATTATATTCATTATTCGAAATATTTTTAACCTCTGACTAAAATTTGAAAGTAGGTAAACTATTATATAGTATAGGTAGATGTAAATACATTTAAAGTCTATTCCATGGCACTATATAGAGGGCCAATATGAGAACTGTATTATATAAGAAGGGCTGAGCTCAGGCTATTATTTTCAAATTCTCTCCTTTTATGTTCATTTCTGTCAAAAAAGATTTTCTTGTGGCAATTGCTACATACCTCAACTGTCAATCCATATTCCTCTATAATTCATTATCATATTCTAGAGCTTCTAAACTAAAAGGTTTAAAACTTTATAGGTCATAATGATAGCTGTGAAGACTAAAGCCCATGTCTCTTGATGTATCTCTCCATTTTTTTTTTTTTTTTTTTTGCTTTAGAGCTAATTTTACAGAAGTACTCTGCTTTTGGCCTGAAAGCTTGACTTTTAACTCAGCCTCCCAATCTTGTCAGATGCCCTTTGAAATGTATTTCTTCAAACATGATTCTTCTCCTTGCTCCAACTAGATTACAGGTAATTTTGAAACTGACTGCCACACTGAGTTCAATTCCTACAGACCTCCAGCATCACTATCTAGGCGGAGCCCTTTCCCCAGCCTGACTGTACCCTGCTGGTTGAAGTACATACAACAAGATCTTTGAGTGTCACTGACATCTGCTATGTGAATGTCGTGCCTCCAATGGCTACCCTTTCTTCTTTGTTCTCTTAGTGAAGGTCACGATTCACAAGCATTTCACCCAGATCTTCCCCCAAGGTCACCATCTTCTCACTGGTCCCTGGATTTGTGACTTCGTCAAGTTCTGTGCTCCTCTAACAGGATGGTCACCTAAAGCTCCAGCAACTCCAAAATCTACACCTTGTGTCTAGCCTCTCTACTGCAACCAGAGGCTACAGAGAGTCTAATCAGAGCCCTCTAACGAGTCCTCAGACTACCTAATTTCTACAAAAGGCTTGAGGGTCAAATCTGACTTCTCTTAGGGTAGTTTCCTTTTCCTTGGGGTCACCATAAATTTATGACCCTGTTTTGGTCATGATTAGAGATAGAAGGCTGGCCACCTCCTTGTTACAGCATTTAATCAGCCAGAATCTTTACTCGGGTGTATAGCTTTCTCTCTAGAATGAAGAAAATGGTTTTAGGCTCAGACATACATAACGCACTTTAGAAGGTGTTCAAGGTTGGCACAAATTAGAGAATTAGGAGCTTTCAACAGCCTAAGTCAAAATCCTACTCATTAGTAACCTACAAAGTTAAAAATCAACCTAGTAAGAACATAAGAAATGTTAGCAAAAAAGAAAAAACAGAGACTGGGACTCAATTAGAGAGCTACAGGCACATACTTAAAAACTACATATTTATTTTTTTTCTCCTATCCATCTCACAACTAAGATAGTCCCCCAAAAAAAAAAAAAAAAATTGTTTTAACTTCCACTGCTTCCCCATGACTAACAAGGTTAAGACAAAATTTCCTTGGCAACCAACAAGGCCTCTATAACTGGCCCTTTCTTACCTAGCAACATATCATCACTCTCCCCTCTTTTGTCCATAGCAAACACTCAGTAATTTCAGGAATTGTGTCCTTCCAATACCTGTATGAGACAGCTCCCGCATACCTGTCTTTGAACACAGAATTCTTTCTAACTCAAATGCCCACCCCTTTCTTTCAACCTCATGAGCTCCTACTAATCCTTTAGTACACAAATGTTACTGCTTCAGATAGAGTTAGACCACCCTTATTACACATAGTACCTATGTATTATAGCACTTATCACATTGTAATCACCAGTTTTTCTTCTCCTTGATGAGAACTTCTAGAAGATAGGCAGGGTAACTCATTAATCTCTGTATATCCAAGGCCTAGCACAATGCCTGGCAATCAGTAAACGTCATTTTACAGATGAGTGAAATTTTGTAAAGGCTCTCCCTCACTGCAAACATCACTCCAGCCACACAGCTCTCTCTCTAACCAGAAAAGCTGGATGGGTGACTATGTCTTCAGCTTAGCAAAAATGACTGCCTGATTGCATAACTTATAAAAGTAGGCTACTGTGGCTTAAATAGCTTAAACCTTAAAACAGTTTAATATCTTACCTTTCAATAAGGTAGTACTTTGTCTTTCAGCAATTTTGTGGATCTTAAGGTCTCAGGGTCAGGAAGATTCCAACTTCTTTCCAAAACCAAAACCTTTATACTCGTTTCTTCCTCCTCTCTGTCCAGAGCCTTGACAAGCAGGACAATAAGCTCCTTGTTTCTAATCTCTACAGGAAAAAATGGTGCTTCTGCTGGTGTCCATTCCACTCCCAATCCTCTTGGACATATGCAGGAGGACTGGAACATAACCACCAATATCTAGATCAAAAGTGAACAAAAGGAAACCCACAAGCAAAGAAAGCACGGAACCCTTACTTCTCTTACGAAAATGATCATTCCCCCCTCCCCAGAGGCAAAAATATATTACATTCTTGCCCTTGATAGAAATAATGAATTGTTTGATCTCAATAAACATAAATTGCAATAATTTGATATTGCAGCCAGTTTTACATTTAAAATTTTCTATCACACAGATAGTAGAAACCGTTTTAGGATGTTAACGGCCAGGAAACAATAATATATGGAAACACAGTCATATTTTGTTCATTCTTAAAAATATATATGAATCCTGTTTTTTACATAACTGTACGCATACAAATGATCCTTTAAAAAAATAACAATCTGTTACCCTAAATTTTTTTCCAGGCCATTACATCCCACTAAAAAAGAAGAAAAGTAACTGCTATCAGTTTCATTTCTTTTTTGGTTCCCTGCCCGCCAGTCACTAGTGCAACTGTCTTCTCAGTCTACATGTGATGTCAATAACTTCCATGATTTGCAGTATCACATATACATTAGTGACACTCACACCTGTTTTTCCTGTGTCCTCCTATTTTCAAAGATTTGATCATTTCCTAAATATAACAAAAATATCTCAAATTCAACATGCTCAAAGCCCAAATCTGTTCTTCTGTATGTCAGTAAATAGAATAATTATCACCATCAACTTGGTTACCTGAGCTTTTAAAAACTTTAATCATTTTTCAATTCACTGAATAATCATGCAGGACATTAAGCCTTGTGTTTAACTCAAAAGAGGATAAACAGACAAATAAGATGAGGTCCTGGCCTCAACAACTCTCCCCTCCAGAAGAATCTAGCAAGACAAGCACAATTTGATGTGCTGTGGAACAGAGGACTGACTGACTCACTCTGCCTGAAACCACTGGTCATGGGATTCACAGAAGAGATGAAATGAAATGATCACTTGCTGGATCTTGGAAAGCAAGTAAGATGTGATAAAACTTGTTCCAGGCAAAGAGAACGGCAAGTGTTAAGGTACAAAAGAATCAACGAATATAATGGATTCAAGTGAAGCGTGAGTACTGGGGGAATTTAGGAAGAAAGGAATAGTAAATGTGATCAGGAAGATAGGTTTGGATAAGAACTGTAAAGGATCTTATATGCCACACAAAACGTTAGGGTGTTAATTGTCCTGCTATTCAAAAACAAAATGTTTTAAAGTATGAGACTAGTAGCATTGAGTAGAAGTATATAATTTTGAAGATAATTGATAGTATTGTAAAGAGTGAAATGAAGGAGAAACAGGTTTTAGAGACTAAGTAGAAAAGGAC